AATGGCACTTTGTGCGTGCATCTGCGCCAGCCCTTTCCCTCTGCCTGTCCACGGAGGAGACGCGGGGAGCCCAGAGCTCCAGCTCCAGAGTGGGAGAGGACTTTGGGCAGGCTCAGCATTGCTGTTGGACACCATTCAGAAGTCCCCGCTCCGCAGGGGGGGCCTAAAGAGCAGAACAAACAGAGTGGGGAGTAGTGGAAAATGCTGAGCCCTGGAGCTGGCCGGAAGCGTCCGCCCGCTCTGCCCACCTGCAGCTGCCGCCCCGGCTCCAGGGCCACAGCCGGCAGGGCGGCCTTGGCAGCGTGGTCCTGCTCTGGAGCCAGCAGGGCGGGGAACACATACCCTTCTCTCCTTGGACAGGCACACTAGAGTCCTCACCCAGAGTGCTGAGGCATTTTCCTTGTCTGAGATGTTCAGGGGAAATATGGTTCTCAGAGCAGGGAGAAAAAGACTTTCTCAAAGGTAGTTTCAGAGTTACCAACAGCTCTGGTTTACACAGCACTTACTGTATGTCAAGCACAACAGAGATTGAATTGTGGGCTGGTACTGTTACCATGTTTCCCCCAAAATAAGACCCAAAAAATAAGCCCTAGCAGGATTTCTATGCATTGGTTAAATATAAGCCCTACCCTGATAATAAGACCTAGTGATGCACTTCGCACAGTGAGGAAGACATCCCCTGAAAATAAGCCCTAGTGTGTCTTCTTAAGAAAAAATAAAAATAAGACGGTGTCTTATTTTTGGGAAAACATGGTACTTCCATTTCACAGATAAAAAAATCAACGCACAGAGAGGTTAAATAACTCCCCAGGTCACAAAAGACAAAATGGCAGGCCAGGATTCAAACCCCAGCAGTCCAGCTTCAGAGTCCACACTTTTAGCTTTGCCACGTTTCCTCTCTAGGAATACACCATGTGAGAAGCAAACAGAGGAAACTCACACTGAAGAATAAAGGAATGGATGAGAAAGAGAGAAAAATCTCCAAGGATGAGAACACACACACCAAAAAAATGTTTTTAAGTCAGGAAGCTGTCAGCTCAGGAGTGTGAGCCCAAGATGCAGAAATGGCAAGAGATGCTGAGTTGGGGATGAAGCCCCAGTGCCGGGCAGGCAGCTGCTCTGTCCTCTGCCCCAAACAGACTTCAGGGAACAGGGCTCAGAAGGAAGGATGGCAAATGGGCCTCAGAAAGCTCTCGGGACACTCTGAGGACAGCGGTTGGAGCAGAGAACTGAACACCTTCCAATTACATCCTGAAGTGGAAGCAGGTGCCCAGGGCTCCAGGGAAAGACTAGCACCCTGATGAGAAGAGACAGCCCATGTCAGTCATGCATGGAGGGTTGTCACATCCCTCTGTGGGCTAAAGAGCTCTTGTCTCCACAGGAGAAAGGAAAAGGAGGGAAGGAAGGAAGGTGGGAAGGAAGACAGAGAGACTCTTATGTCTGGAAGGACAAGCTCACAACCCTCATTAAACATGTGGGATTGACCTTCAGTCTCTGTTGGCTTCAGGTTTTAGGATGCTACTTGTGGTAGCATAAAGAAGGCTATGGGGGACTTGTGGTCCAGGCTCTGATATGGAATTTCAAGGAGACCATACCCTGGCCTCCCACAGCAGCTAACACTTACCACCATCATGCAGGTAGCACACCTGGTCCCTACCTGCTCTTAATACAGCCTCCCTGCTGCACCTGCTGAGTCTGGAACCCGCCCTACTCCACAATGCTCCAGGATGGTCACGGAAGAAAATACTTTAAAACCTCCTGGGCTCAAGAACACAGCTCTGCAACAGTCAGCATGAAAACTTGGCCATAGAGAAAACAAACACTTGACTGAACCATCCCCTCCCCCCATTGTCTCCACCATCTGTCTCACCTGTTCTCTCACACGGATGAACACCCTCTCAATGGGCACTGTCTGCACTGTTTTCACAAGCTTTTTTAGAATGGAACTGGTCTACCTGAGAAGCCTGGCAGAGGGAGGGCTCCCCGGTCCAATCGCTTTCAGAGTTTTGAACTTCCCTTCCCCAGAAACCTCTAAGAGTCATGACCATTATTATGAACACGGCACAGTCTGGACAGACCTTTGGAGGCGCTCAGCCCCATCTCCCCTTAAGTTTGGAATATTCTTGCCTCTGGAAGACAAGCCCAGACCACAGCCAGTAGCCATTAGCTTCTAGGCTTGCAAAGGCAGTTGCCTCATCTGTGAGCACCTCTGGACCTTGGAAGGGTATAAGAAGAGTCACAGCTGAAACTGCAGGTTGCCTGTCAAAAGGTTAAAGTGCCTCGGCTGCCAGAGCGGAATGGACAGGGAGAAGGTAGTGACTGTCTCTTGACCCTCGGTAATTCCCACAAGTGGCTGCTGAAAACTCCCAGGGGGCCTCCTGCACAAGCTGACCTGACATCAAAGCTCTGAGCAGGGCTGTGGCTGAGAGCCCAAGGCTGCCCGCAGGGGTCAGAGATTAGAGATAGGACTGAAACTCCACCCGCGGCTCTGGGGATGTGTGGCTGCGGGGGGGGGTCTTCACCTGTGGACGCCAGGCATTGAATAAAACTGGCTTAGCCAGAAGAGAAGTATTTGCCAGGAAATTGGACAAAGGGAACGTGATTCTGAGTAAAACAGAAAATGTCACTGACCGAGGGACAGTGAGGAAAGATTTACAGACCCACCTAACCTTCATTTGGGGTCCTAACTTCTCAGTAAATGGTTTTTTCTCAACTCTTAACATTGTCACATCCACATCTCTTTTATCAGACTCCTTAAACCCCTGCCCCACTGCAAAAGGTGCCAAGACAGAGCTTCTCTCTCCCAACGTTTACTGTTCACGGATGAAGCCTGTCCCAGCAGGACCAGCCCCACAGCAGCGAACTCAGGCCCGCCGAGCCTGTGTGTGAGGGCTGGGTCCTCAGGCCAGGAGTCAAAGAGACCAGTCTGGGCCAGAGAAGGGCCCCGGACATCGGGGACCAGGTCACAGACCACGTGAGAGCAGTTCCTGGGAGAAGCAGAGGCCAGAAAGGGCTGTGGCTTCCTTACCGTAAGAAGACGCTGTCCTCGTCCTCGGTCCTCCGTGTGGCGTGAGGGGCGGACCGCTCAGTGACCCAGGGCCGCGGCACCACCGACGGGAGGCACCTGCCAGCATCACCGCAGGGGCCCGTCAGAGCTCGAGGGCAGCACCAGGGCCTCCTAGAAGGGACCTGGCTCAGAGGCGCGGCCCTCGAGCGCCGGCCAAGTAAACGCGAAACGTGGAAAGAATCCACACAGACGCAGGTCCCCGACTCCTGAGCAGGAATGCCGGCGTGTGGCCTGACCTCCTGACGCACCGCAGACAAAATGGGGGCTTTGTGTTCACGGGGTGGGGCTTTATGTACACCCGCTCGCTCTGCAGCGCACGAGGCGCTGCGCACGCACCGCACGGAGCACGCACCGCACGGAGCACGCGCCGTCTCCTCCAGGCCGCTGAGCCCCCGGTAGCACCAGGGACAGTCGGGGTGGCTCTGAGAGACCCAATGCAGCTTAGATCACAGTCTTCCTGGGTTTGGGGTTAAAACACTTACATCGCCTTGTAACAGACGATTCTGTTGCTTGATTGTTATTCTTCCTCTGGGCTTGGGTGCTGCCACTCACTCCCAAGCCATAGCAGCCAATTTTTTTACCCCACCACCTGCTAAAGCCTGCCAGATCTCTATAGACTGCGACCACCACCTTCTTCTGTATGACTCCCCCTTCCCTGTCTCCGTCTGTCCTCACCTGACCCCATCCTCCCAAAGCCTGCAGTGGCTTTTGAAGACTGTAGTCTGTCTCCCAGCCCCCATCACAGTGTCAAGATGCCAGTCTCAGCTGTGTGGTCAGAACCCACCAAAGCCCAGTGCTCCATCTCAACCCAGCTCCTGGTTTGCAAAACAGAAGATGAAGCTGATTTTATTCAAGTATGCATTGCGTCTTTTACCCTGGTCAGCATTAAATCAGGAGGGGTGGCAGCAGCTTGGCACTGAGGGAGAGCTCCGACTGAATCTTTGGCTGAAGCAGAGGCCTATTCTCTTGTTTACTCAGGGGGAGACCAGCTCAAATGCAGCCCCAGGTTGGCGCAGGAGTCGTGGTTTTGCCCAGTTTGCAGCTGAAAACTAAAAACTATAAGGACTTCTGGATATTTTCCCAAAGTGTCCTGGTGAGTGGTGGTGGCTTGACCGGGACGAGGGCGCCTCCCTCACGGCCAGTCCAGCTCCCTGACCACTAGACCACACAGTCCGTGATGAACGTGGGCTCAGCAAACCTCAAGCTCCAGGCCTGAACAGAAAGATTTTCCAAAAACAGAGCTCTCTTTGTGAACAATTCAGCAAAAATTCTCTCTCCAGCTGTGAGTTGGGATTTGTGTTGCAAATGTTGGTGTTAATTAAAAACATCCACCTTCTACGGTTACAACAACCAGGAGAAAGCACCACGTGAGCCGTGGGCCTCGGCACTCCTCCCCGAAGCACTTATAAATACGATTTTATTTACAGCTTGGCTTTCAGAGGGTCCTGACAGATTTTATCATTCCCAATTTTCAGGCTCCAATGCAAAAACTGGGGCTAAGATGGCCACAGAGCAAAACTGGCGTCAGTGGTAGAAACAAGAATATTGTCCTTGTCCCTTGTTCACAACGTCCACCAAAGGTGTTCAGCTGTCCGTGTTATCAGCAGGGACTGCACCTCACCGCAGGCAGTGTTCATCTGCGGAGTCATTAAAATTTTCTGCACGTGGTTCTCAGTCCTTCAGACATAAACAAATGTCAGAAGAGGCCAGGGATAACTCACAAAGGACGACACAATACATTCAACAATTTGGGATCTTAGATTACTTCCCTATATCCCTATTACAGCTGTCCCTTTACTGGGAAATCTTTGTCTAAATTGGTCCCCAGGCAGGGAGAGCAGAGACCAAATCGCATCCCTTCTCTGTGGTGTGTTCATTCATCCTGCTTTAAAATGTGATACCAGCAGCAAAGAACCAAGCCAGAGCCACATCATTATGAATGAATTTCTTTGTTTTTAATTTCACACAGTTTAAAATACAATATGAAATCAGGCTACAGTATATAAAAAACTCTCCAGCAAAATGATGTGCCAGCATCAGCTACTAAAATAAACAAACAAAAAAACTCCCCAATAAGAATTTTTTTTCTGCTTTTTTTTTCTAAAAAAAACACGTAGACAGTTACGTCGCTACATCTCTAAGCTACCTCAGTTCTGATTTGTAAAAAGCACCTGCTTTTCCTTTTTTTTCATCTTGCTTTTAAATTTTCAGCTTTTAAAAAATATAAATTATATGAAAATACAAGTTGGAAAATAGTCAAACACAATATAACATCTTTTTCACCCCTATACTTCTCAGCTTAAAAAAACAAAAGTATGCTTAAAAAAAAGTTCAATAACTGAGGCAGTATTCCTGATAGAGATAATTTCATTTTAACATATATATATATTTTTTATATATGTATATGTATACATATATTTATGGTTTCTTGAAACTTCTTTGGAATGTAGGTAAGAGTTCAACAAGTTTATATAGACCCCAACAGAGAGAGCAGCACACACAGCATGGCTAGAAAGAGAAGGCGTATTATTCACTGTGAAGGTTGGGCAGGTTAATGCTCTAAAACCAGAGTGTTCATCTCCAAAGCAAGGAAAAGCGTGTCTGATCTCTGAATGCCACCTCCAATCCCCACCGCCACAAAATCAGGGCTCTCTGTAGGGAAGCTCCTCCCCTGAACGGAGAAGGGCACAAAAGTGACTCTGAACCCTGAAGCCAAAACCCAACAGGTTAAGGCATCTCCAGGAAAATAAGGGTTTCACTCAGTAAGACCAGATTTGCCCATCCTCCCTCTGAAGGTAACATGTGTTTTTAAAAAGCATGAATGCAACAATTTTGCTACATTTCCAGTGTATAAACCACCCACCACTCTTCCTGGGATGGTCTCTGGCCTTTGGATAAAAGGAGAAAAAGCCTCTGGCCAGATAGACGGAGCTGTCTCAACACACTACCTACAGATCCTGAAAACGGTGGGCCTGGAAAGGGGAGTCTTAGTGAACCAGCAGGCTGAGGAGCGCCAGGAGGCATTTTCTGCTATCTTATCTGCTATAGGAATTGCAAGGCTGGACAGACTCACAGAAGGGGAGTTTTCAGCATAAATTTAATAGGAAAGATTGATGATTTGGGAGAGTGATTTTTTTTGCCTGGTTGCCAACTGCAAGCAATGGCTGATACCCAGCCTTGGTTCTGTGCTCACCCATTACTGAAATGTGGAAAGACTTAACTAGAAAACTCAGGTATTATTTCAGCTGCAGTTATGCATGTCGGCAATACACACACACACACACACACACACACACACACACATATACACACACACCCTTTGCCAGTGCCCAACAAAGATCAAATAATCTAAGAGAAAACAATGTAGTCCAAACAGTTCCACCTAACACTCCCTGAGCAGCTCCTAAAATATTTTGAGAGCTTCATTAAGGCACCTGCATCCAAAAGATCAAAATACACAGCTGGGATAATTCTGCCTTTGCTTTCCATGCAGAAGTTCTGATTTATCAGTATAACATGAGGACACTCATGAATCACACAGTCTTGTTCCTGGTAATTCAGGGTCTGTAGGAGGATCTGGGAGTAAACAATCAACTTTCTTGACTATGTGCTAGAAGGTAGTTAGTATTTCCAACTTCTCAGCTAATCCCCTAAAGGGCCAGCCCTGAGCGGCTCATCTTAAATGTGTCTTCCCGGCTATCGTGGAAGTCCATAAGGCCACCTCCCCTTCCTCATCCTTGTAACTGGGCAGCTCTCTAGGGGGAGGGATTCTAATTGTATTAGGCACTTTTTCTCACTAGTTAGATGTTGGTCCCCTCCCCCATAACCCCACTTTCAGATTCCCCCACAAAACCAGCAGCAAGATGACTACTTCAGTTCTTGTTTAAACTTGGAGGGAACTAAAAATATATTCAAATCTCACGGACCGCATTATTTTCTTCACTCAAGCCCCTTCTCATTTCCTTTGCCTCCAAGTCCTTCTGCAATTAGCCTTGACTTACCCTGCACCAGGGTGCCAGGAGCAAGCACGGGCCCTGACATTGTGTGTACCAGTGTACACAGTCTCAACTGACAGCCTACCCAACTAGTTCAAGTTCTGCAAAGGAAAGCCTTGCGCTTCTCTTCCCCAAGACACAGCCACATCACATTTTGTTCCAATGCTCTCTTAATCTCCATCACTTCTAAACCCAGCAAGGTCAACTCCTCCACTCATGTCATGTCTGAAGCTACTCTTTCACTCACCAATCAGAAAGCTGTACATTTCTCTACTGAATAATTGGGGGGGGGGGGACACGTGAGCAAAAAAAAAAATGAAAGATGTTGGAAAATGAAACATGAAAGAGGAATTACAGAGTGTTAGTTTGGATCAACACACGGTCAGGACTTATCTCTTGAGACCTGAGGGGTAATGCCCATGCATACAGCTTTGATTCCAAGTCCTCCAGGTTACAGGTACGGAACCAAGAAAGAACCCAGCCAATCTCCTCCTTTGATCTCCTCTCCATGGCTTCGACAGTGCTCCTACATTTATGGGATCCAAAACCACGACTGCGAAATACATTCAGTTCCAAGACTTAATGCTCCTTAGCTTGACATTAAGCCCAAACCCCGAGAATCCACTAATAACCAATAAGGTTTTGTAATAATAATTTTTTTTTAAATTGTAGATGAAATTCACACATGCATCGTTCCCCTGTACCCAAATCAGCATTAATTTCTCCTTCATACATAAGTCACATGAATTTGGGATCCCTGATACCAGTGACAGCCCTTTGGTTTTCCAATGGGGTCTATATAAACAGTTTTCTTTCACTGTGACAGAATCCTCAGCTGGCAAATAAAAACAAACTTGCATGATATTGCAATACTGAGACCACCTTAGAGCTTAAGACGATTTTTAAGAACAAAAAATACTGGCACAAAATTTAATAAAATAAATTTTAACACGAAACCTGTGTCGGCCCCCTCCCCATGGAAGTCCATCTTTGTTTCAAAAAGAGTAAAAAGGAAATCATTCTCAGGTTTTGCTGCATTCTCCCCCCCAAAAATGTTTTATCCCACCCCCTCTTTTTGCCCTCCCCAATCTACCAAAAGCAAATTAACTGATTTTCATCAGTCTGGGGACTTCTGATGTGGCAATGTCTCTTGATAATGGGACCATAACTCAAGACACATTTTTTTCATGGATATTTTTTTTAAAAAAATGATTGGACACATTAGTCTCTTCCTCCTCAAGCCAGATCCTTCCAGCTTCTAAGAAGACCCCTCTCTCTCATGAAAAATTTGCTCAAAAGCTTCTTATCCCACCCACCCACGAGTCCTGATTCTCCTTTTCCAACCACACACAATTGATTACAGCCGCAGCTCACTTAGCTCCCACCCCTGAATGTAAAAAAAAAATGAGTTCTGAAAAATAAAAAATAGAATAAAATGGTTATAGAATAACCATTAAAAATTGAGTCCGACCAAGGCGGTTGTCCTTCCAAAGGTCTCAGCAGGGCTCCCCCAGCCCCGTCTGCGTCCATCACTCGTCGGCGTCGGGCTTGACGTCCAGCATGGCGTGGAGCTCCTCGGGCGCGTAGCCCAGCAGGCTCTGCAGGTCGCACACGAAGCGGTAGACGTAGCGCTTCCCCGCCGTCTTATGAATGATGTTTTTGTCGTAATAGTAGCGAAGGCCACGGCTCAGTTTCTCGTAATTCATCTTAGGTTTGTTTTTCCTCTTTCCCCATCTCCTGGCCACCTAAAATAAAAATATAAAGAGCAGGTAGAAATCTACAGGGCGACCCCAATACACACGTATATACCCTATACTGAACCCAGGGCGACCCCAGTACACACATGTATACCCTATACCGAACCCAGGGCGACCCCAGTACACACCTGTATACCCTATATGAACCCATGCGTGACCCCTGAGGTTCAAGCTAGATGATTAGAGATTCGTGTTGGCACAGAAGACGTTTCCCTGACCTAGCTTTCCTGAATTCCATTTATCAAGGGTGGGGCAGGGACAGTAGTCAAGTTCATGAACACAAAGTGAGCCTGAACTTTGATGCAATGCGGTTAAATATTTGATTTTGAAAAACAAAAGAACAGCCACCCTGCAGACTCTCCTCCTTCTCCACATTACTGGTAGAATGTCCTTGCCCTTTTGAAGGCGTGCAGCGAGTGGAGGGCATGGAGAGAGGCCCGAGCTGCTGTCATACCTGCCTGCCATCAACAGGAAGTGTGTTCTCTGCAGCAGGGCATAAATATTCTCTCATGTCTGCCAGAACAGAGATGTTGTCTCTCTTGTTCATTGTCTTTTTATCCTCAGAATTGGGCGTGGCCCAGAACCCCACCAGACAAGAAGTGTTTGTGTAATGAAAAAATAAATTAATGAACAAATTGTTCTAATCTTCCAAGGCTTCTTGAACTGTCCGGCCCCTTTCACACTCACAGAGCCACAGGGCTAGGAAGGGCCCAAAGTCAGAGAAGGTGACTCCATTGACAAAGGGCTGACTAAGCACCAGGCACTTATGTACCCAGTATCAGTTAACACTGGGTAATAAATGGGCGACAAAGATATTGCCTCTGTTTTCCAAATGATGAAACTCAGGCCCAGACAAGGCTGCCTAACTTGCTCAGGGTCACACAAGTAGCAAGTGACAAGGGCTGGGATTCCAATCCTAGAGAACAGCCTCCAGGCCCACACAGCCCCTGCCCAGGGTTTTCCTGCACCCTTCCTCACCCCAGTTCTCTCCAGCCTCTCCTTTCTTACCTCATCTGGGTCAGAGAGCTTGAATTCCCAGCCATCTCCTGTCCAGCTGATAAAAGACTGACAGGATTTATCAGTGAGTAATTCCAGAAGAAACTGCCACAGCTGGATTGGTCCGCTGCCTGGAAACAGAAGCCAAGGAGTCATCACAGCAGTGAGCACGGGCAGGAACCAGTCCCATACTCTGTGCTTCCCCTCTCAGCTCCTCCAGCTGGGAGAGCATGGAGGCGACCCACAGGGGGAAGACGGGAGGAAGTGTTAGGAGCTCAAACACACAGAAAAGAACTCCCCCCTGCAAAAAAGCACACTAGAAAATAAATAAATTGCTTTAAGGGTCAGTCCACTTTTATTGGTAAGAAAACTCTAGAAAGAAAATACTGAGCCTGTCCTCTGAGATATTCCAAGGCAGCATCTGCCTTCAAAAATCAGTCATTATTTTTGCCTTAAGAAGAGAAATATGAACTGAGGAATGAATGTCCTTGCCAGTTCCAAGCAGCAGGCAGAGCTCATAAGCCCTCCTTTATAGGAGGGAGGCTTTGGCCCCTGCTCTGTGAGTGGGAAGGATCAGTCCCCTCGCTATCCCCACATGGAAATAGATACTGGATGTCCTTTCAGGATAGCATTCCTCTCCACCCCACTCCGCCCTCCCAGACCACATGGAGGCAAGCACCCAAACTAAGAAAAGGAAAAGAAAGCATCGTCACAAATCTTAAATTCAGCTGATTAAAAAAAAAAAATCACCACTATTTGAGGAATTAATTTGCTACCTAGAAAATCCTGGGAGGTCAGATGAGGACTGTCTCATAAATTCTTCATGGGTATTTTCTTACACACACAACTATTCTCTTAGCCATCAACACTCCCGAGATCTTAGCGTACTGACAGTCAGTGTACCCTATGCTAAAGATTTCTATCGCACAGACTTCCTCTAAGGATAACTTTCTATTCTGAAATGACAATGCCATCTAATTTCTGGATGTAGCTGGAGAGACAATTATGGAGCCAACAGTCCAGGCTGCATGTTGCAAGTCTATCCTGTGCCCTCTGACGCCATTTTGTAAACTATATGGGCAGAGCAGGACTGGAAGAGACGCAGCAGTTGGCGTAGACGATGGAAGCCCAGCATGCTCCAGTTCATAGGGAAACCCAGACTTTCCAAGGCTCTAACCCTTAACCCAAGTTTCAAGTAAACTAAGACTCAACAAGTTTCAACAGGAAGCAAGCTTTAGGTTCCCTGTCAATATAAAAAAAAGAAGCAGCCTTTATGATCGGTGACAGTCAGGTTCAAGTGCATCATTTTACTTGCTCCTAAAATCCACTCCCCATCCCTCTGCTGTAAGTAGCACAGGGGTCTTACTGTTCTAATCTATTGGTTGGGGAAAAGGTGCTCTGGAAAGTAATGTGAGTTTGCTCCATGGCACGGCCAGCCTACAGGGGTGCTGGTCTAGCGGCATCTCCTTTCTAACAATTTCTAACAGTTTCCAGGGCTCCTCCCCAGCAACCCCCAAGCTAAATGTGAAAACTGAAATATTTCTAGTTCATCTTTCTGAGAGTACACCTGTACCTTTAGCTATTAAGATGTAAAACCCATTGTGCAAGGAACACCTCACATGTATTCCAGAATAAAATGGTTCAGGGAAAATTTATAAAATCACCAATTAACATGCTAAGAAAAGCACAGAGATCTGCACTGATAAGGCCTTAACTTCCTACACCTCAGGTACATCTGCAGGTTTGGCGGAAATTAAGGAAAGTCACCGGATACTGCTTCCTGCCTGGGCTCACAAAGCCCAAGGTGACACTGTCTAAGGAATCCACTGAGAATCCCCCCTAATGGGCACCAGGAGGTAAGAGGCCAAGTCCATCTTAGGACTTAGCAGCTGCAGGAGCCCCAGTGACACAATAGGCTTCTTGAATAAATTCACAATGACGTAGACCAACAAAGGGTCCCTGAAAGAGACATGTGAAGGGCTCGGCGCCTGTGGCTCAAGCGGCTAAGGCGCCAGCCACATACACCTAAGGGGGCAGGTTCGAATCCAGCCTGGGCCCGCCAAACAACAATGATGGCTGCAACCAAAAAATAGCCGGGCGTTGTGGTGGGCGCCTGTGGTCCCAGCTACTTGGGAGGCGGAGGCAGGAGACTCACTTGAGCCCAAGAGTAGGAGGTTGCTGTGAGCTGTGATGCCACAGCACTCTACCCAGGGGAACAGCTTGAGGCTCTATCTCCAAAAAAAAAAAAAAGAGAGAGAGAGAGACATGTGAAGGAAAAACACCCAAAAGCTATGCAGAGAAACATCCCTGTGTGAAGGTGGCAGACCTTGGACGTGGGTGGGGGAGTTGCTGTCAGACCCCTGACAGTCGTGACTGGCTGTGCACTGTGCGCCCCACGAGCCAGGCACTGAGCACGCCGGGGTCATCTCATTTGTTCCTCACAAGAACTCCAGGGGTGGATGCTATTGTCACTCTATGCATTCCTGCCACTTCTCTGCACAGCTAATAGATAGGCTGCATGGCTGCCCGACCTGTGCAGGGCCATTCACCAGCAGCAGAATGACTGGGACTGGAACCTAGGCAGTGCAGCCACCAGATTCTTCATCTCAACACTACACCACCCGTGGACAAGACCAAGCCAGAGCCCTGGCATCTGAACTGCCTGCCTGGGAGCCCTGATCAAGGGGCAAGAAGACCTGGCTTTAGAGACTCATGGTAGCTGTGGGACAGTGGGCAGCCAGTGGCTCTCCCTGACGGTCTGACTGCTAGTGTGGCCGCGCGTCCACCCCCACAGCTACACTTCCAGCTCTACTGGTCAGGTGCCCCGTGGCAGCTGTGATTTCATGATTTCTACGTTATTTCAATATTTCTCCCTCCCACTATCGACCTTAGCACCTGCCTCACGCTGCTTATCACAACTTCTCTTTGGGGAGAAGAGGTCTGGTTACACAAGCTGAAGAGATGAGAAGATCAGATTCCTTCCACATGGTAAGTCTCAGCCTTTAACAGGGAGGAGCAAGCAAGTCCTGGAGAGCAGTGTCCAGGAGCACATGGCCATCCCCTCCCTCAGCACTGGCACCAGAACGCAGAGAAGGCGCCTTCAATCCAAGTCACTGGCACAGCCGGGGAGTCCTGGGATGGAATTACCATTCTTTCTTGTTCCACTGGTACCGTTTCCCAAATTGAAACATCAAGTAGTGGCGGGAGTATGGCCCTGCTCCAGTCCCTGCTCTGTGGGTGTATATGGCAGGGCTCAGGGGAGTCCCCGCTGGAAGACTGTTTTCCCCATTGTGAGTTTCCCTTTTTCAAAAGGAATGTGGAAGTGGTAAACGCAGGTGCTGGGAACAGGTGCCAGGTGCCAGCTCTCTGGCTCTTCTGCTCCTACCAAGGGGAAGAGGAGGGATAAAAAGGAAAAGCAGAGGCCCAGGGTAAGCACAAGAGCCTGAACAGGAGGAGATGTCCCCAGCCCGCGTCACAGAAGGAACATCAGTACAAGGCTAAGGCCAGCTGAAGGCTCCTTCCCCGAGTCCTGCAGAGAACCCCGTGGGTACTGGGCTAGCTGACACAGGGAGCACACTCTTCAGAAAGCCCAGTTCTCATATCACACAGGAATCCAGCACCATCCAGAAGCTTCCCCTCCGGGACCTTTTACAGACTCCTAAATGGTCCCTTTGTTGTGCAAAGCAGTAGAATTAGGAATGAGTTGGAATTGTTCTCCCAGACAGAAACCGCCAGGCGCAGCAGGAGATGGTCTGACTACACAGACCTGCCTGTCTACACAGCAACGTGTCACCCTCACCTCGCTCTGGAGGGGATGTCAGGGCCACTTGGAAACCCAAAGCTCAGAGGTGGCTGTAGGGTGGAGTGTGGACTAGCTGCCAGGCATGGCCAAGTCCAGGCCCATGAGAAGGACTCGTGCCCCACATTGTCCAGACAACGAATGGGCCTAGCGCACCCAGTGACAGCTCTCCTTCAGGGCACTGCCTGGCGTGGATCTGCACAACTGCACAGGGTCCAGGGCTCCATCCCTTGCCCCTGCTCCGGCACACCCTAAAACTGGAAAGTTTCTTCCTCCCTTCTCCCTGTACCGCCTCCTCACTCCTGGGCACTGCCCCATCCTCCCACCCAAACAGATCGAGGTCTCAGTGACCTCTGTCCCCGGGAGCAGAAAACGGTTCTAAGAATAGCGCCAGTCATGGGCAGGGAGCACATGCTCCGTGTGACTCACAATGGGGTCCCTGTCTGGGGGCCCCAAGGCAGTCAACAGCGTCCTTCACTGTGCTGCCTGGGGTGTCACACACCAGGAATCCTGTGGCATCATTGGGAAACTATGCTCCAAGTCGAAGCTCCAAGCCACAACAACAGAGGGGTCCCTGTTAGAAGGAGGTCGCTTCCCAGAGCCATGCGGGAGGGAGGGAGGGCACCTCACAGACTCCACAGGCCCATCCCGTGCGTCCCCAGGCCCCACTGCCCATCCCAAGCCTCCCCTGCTTTGTTCTGCTCAGCTCCTATGTGAGAGGAGAAACCACAACACCACCAGTCTGGGCTCCACTAGCAGAGGACAGCCTCCAAAGAAGAATGATATCGCCCAGAGGACACTCCCTCCAGAGGGTACCTGGGAGCACCTCAAATCTAAGGGGACAATCTCGTGCTTCCAAAAAAAGGTAAAGCTTCAAGTAAATTCTTGTCATTTGGGTCACATTTCATGTTCCTTCTTCCTGTGTAGGATCTTCAAGGTCCATCCCCTATCCGCACGAGGGCTGGTTATTGAAATAACCCTGCCTTGCTGGCCCCTTACCCTGAGGTTAAGAACTGAGCAGCATAAATAAATATACAGCAACAGGCTGGGGCACAGGTGCAGAGAGATGCTCTTAGGATGTATTCCATTCCATTCCCCACGTTGTCAGTCTCTTTCTTCTCATTATTCCAGGTTTAGGAGCCGCCTGCCCCGCCTGTAGTCCCAGCTTCTCAGGAGGCTAAGGCAGGAGAATCGCCTAAACCCAGGAGTTGGAGGTTGCTGTGAGCTGTGATGCCACAGCACTCTACCAAGGGCAATACAGCGAGACTCTGTCTCTAAACAAAAAAAGAAAGAAAGAAAAAGAAAAAAAAAAAGAAGGAGCCGCCCGCCCAC